CAGTCTTTAAAGATCGCCCTCGCCTTTTATTGTCCGCGAACGAATCGAGACGGGCATGTTTCCGTCCGTCTGCGAATTAGGTCACTAATGATGTAGTGCCATATCATAAAATACTCCCAGAGTTCTTACACCCTTGTGGATACAAAGATCAAAATCAAGAGAAACGAAGATGTCTACATCGTCAAGAGTATCAGGTAGTTGTTAATATTAACTATATATTTCTCAGCAATACAGAACTAAATATTGTGTGGGGCAATAGGGGCGTACCCAGGGGGTAGTTTTGCAGGTCAGAAAATTTGAACTTTTTTTATGCATTATAAATATCAGTTTTTCGTAGCTTGAAACGCTTTTTAGACCCTCAAGACTCATTGAAAACCCATGTCTTTCATGGGTCCGCTAGCTGTTGGGGTTGAACTTGGCAATTAGGATTTTCAGAACCTCCCTTAGAAAATTGTGGGGCAATGGCTGTGAAGTTGAAGTACGACATATTTTAATTATTGGAGGGGGGTTTGTTTTCTAAACTCGCAGCATTTAGAGCCGTTCAAAATTTTGTGCGTTGTCTGAGTGAGCATTTGAGGCTTTTATAGTCAAATTACTCTTAACTATTCCATCGTTGTTTTGAACTGAATTCTCAGCCTAATTTAGGTCACCCAACGTCAAGAAACCCAGTGACGTCGGGCCGACGGTGACGGTCGCTAGTTGGGCAACAACTTCAAGATCCTGTGATCGCTATGGCGACAATTTAGTCGTAATTCTGATCTCATTTCGTTCGATTTTGTGTTCAAGCGTCAAAAACTCCATATTGAATCAATAACCGATCAGGTTGCGTGACATTTTTTGGTGGTATCGTTGGTACTTTTGTGACTGACAAATGCATCCTACTCTTTCTTTCAGTTACCAGACAACAACATAGTGACAATGAAGGTGAGTAAGAACCTGTTCTAACTTCAAGAGTGACAGACGCTCTTAAGGAGAAAGAAGAAACAAAGAATAAAAGAAATGAAAACATTCCACATTTTTTACAACATTTAAATGACAGAAATCAAACTCAAAAAGAATCTGATAAGTTTTTAGACTTTGAAAAGATCAGAAATCTTCCTAAACTAGTTTAAATAATGTTGTTATTTATTGTTAGAATTACAGATTGCACACAATGCATCTGAAACAAATACCGGCGCTCCAAAAGTATGTGTCCTATATTGAGGTAACTAATTTCGTTCGCCTACTTTACATCAAGTTGTGTGAAGTGAGGGAAACCTATGGGCAGGGGGATATTCACTTGGCTAACACAGACAGTTCCCGAACTCATAATAAAATTAAAACGAGAATATCGGTCAGAGACCGAAGACTTATCGATCGAAAGTTAGGGGATCCCCCAAAACAGCGCTCTTACTCCATTGTGACACCTTGTGTCCCAATCACTAATTAATTGATAACTCGCTAATTATACGACATAATTCGCCCTAAATCAATAGGCTTCTGGTACGAGATATGATGAATGCACATGCAAAGATGCTGCAGATCCAATCTCGCTTTCGTGAGATAGCGCGTGCATCTAACAGACAGACAAACACACAGACAGACAAATACCTATCAACATACCTATCGATTAAAATCGATTAATAATAAGAAAAATTTGAATAAAATTATGGCCTAACTTAACCTGGTAAACCAAATACCGTATTAACTATTCGCATACCCGAATGATCTAATAAGAGCCCATGGTTCTCGCTGTATAATTAATTATCAGTCTTAACAGCTTTTCTCCTTCCCATGATAAATAGGGAAAAAAAATTTAATTTTTTGTTCTCTGTGTCCAGAGTTGTATTTTTTAATGTATTGTAAAAATTATTATTAGCTTTGCTCTTGTAGATGTTATATTAGCGATAAAATGTAAAAATGTTTTTTTTTCTAGCAAAATTTAGTAATTTATATTTTGTTTTCTAGTTGACTGTGCTGATTTTTACTAATTTTTCTTCGCTTGGTAGTGTTTGATATTTGTTTTGTGATAGGAAGCATAAATATAGTGAAAAGAGTTGTACTGGAATAGATTGATATTCTCGAATTCTGCTTTTCATATCATATAAAACGAAAGAGCAATACTCAAATAATAAAAAAATGGTCCAATGAATATCCACACTGACAGGTAGACTACGAGGCCTATATCCAATTTTGATTTAAATATTGACACAAATCACACTTGTAAAAAATCTGAAAAAAAAATTCAACTTCTCATTAACTTAGCAACTAGATCCGTATATACACGTTGTGTCCAATATTTTGAATAGATTTACCCAACTACACTCCATGATCCACTATAAAATCAGAAGCTGACCTTTTTGTTATTTTTTTTTGGACTATTTTTTTTTTAAATTTATATTAGAAACACTATTTCGAATTTATGATTTGTTAGTGTTTCCATTTGTAATTTTTTTTTTTTATCAGCTTGGTAATCCAAAGTAATGATTTAATCTCGTGAAAGTAATTTTGCATTTAATAGTGGTCATTAAACTATATAACTGTATTGATATATGATTTGAAACTCTAAAATGTTCCTTATGAACCAATTCAATAAAAACGTTACGTGGTGGCCCTATGATGTGGTTAATCCATTCACAGAAATTTCTATTCAACGCAATGTTATATTCTATGCTCTATTTATTACTGAAAATCATAAGAATGATGTGAACTTTCTCACAAACTGATCAGTCCACTTGTTAAATAGAACTGCTTTATCATCATGGATGTTAATAGTTCACAATTTAGATTGATATTTGAATTGAAATATTATTTGCCTATAATTTATATGAGAATATATTATACTACTGCTGAAACTGAAATTCGTCAAATTTTTGATGATATGTTCCAAATTAATTTGCTAAATTTATGTTAAATCTGCTGAATCAATTTTGATAGCAAAAACTTTGGCGAATCCGTCCTTCTTTATAGCAGGGGTGGGCAGATTATGGCCCACTGGAGTGTTTCATCCAGCCCAGTTGTGTCTCCTGATGTTACAACTATAGTTTTTATGAATATCACTTTTCGTTGAAAATATCCATGAGAATACCGCCATAATGACCCCCGATACATTGTGCTTCTTAATATTATATGAACGTCAGTCTAGCTATCGGACTAGCTTTTGTAAATAGACTTTTTCTTATTCTTAGTTTTCCATATTGAGTTGTAAGCCTCCGGCACAGTAACCAAGTATATTATCTATAACTGGCCCACTCAGAAGAGTGATTGCCCACCCCTGTTTTATAGACTGTTTGGAGCACTCAGTCGACCTATTATTTTTCGTGTTTCTCAAAAATTATTTAACGTGCTTTGAATACTTTTCATTTTCCCAGCATAATCTGTAACTTTTAAATCCAATTATTTCAGTCATGACTATATATATTGCAATGCCTGGTTTTGTTTGTTTTACTCAAACAAATTATAGGTGCCAAACAGTAGTTTAATTTATGTTTAATTGCTGTAATATTTATCAGATATTCCAATATTTATAATTGGTACATATGAAACTTTTCTGAAAAATGATCGGTAACGTTAAGCCCAGCTGGTAATGTCGTTTTGAATTTCACAGTTCTCTCTAATACCCGAAATGTTCCTTTCTTGTCCGTGTTCATAAGTGATATATATGCTTTTTTAGTTTGATTGGGGTTTTTCTATTTTGCTTGGAAATATATTTACTTTCTAATGTCATGTGCTCTTGTTATAATGTTGAGATAGTATAGAATTTACATATTTATCCCGGAAAGACGATAAGACGGCTTAGTCATATGTCGAACCACGGTCCCTCGTCCGGTTACCAGTCTATGTCTGGTATGGGATTAGTTAGCTAGGTATTTGCTTCAGAAACATGGACACCATCAAGGGTGGAGGAAGCCATAACTGATCAGCGGTTACGTGAACCACCCTACGGCGGCGAGGAGTCCGGCAATCCTCTCAGTCTCTCACACATAATATTACCTCACGGAAATCGAACCTGCGAACAGTGTTCAAACTGAAACTGACCAATTTTATTTTCTTATTGTTCAATGGAAACCGCAGCAAGCTTATAATACGCTCGTTACACATAGGTATGGTATATATATAATTTTATGTGCCTTATTTTGCTCACTCTGCCTATATTAAAATCTTCCTTCACTGGTTTCTTAATTCTCTGGCTGATGAAAACCAGCCATTGCCCATGGAAAAGAAGGTTTTCAAACAACAAGAAAATGACTGTTTCCCGTGTAAGTAAGTCATATTCGTAGACGACACAGAGCAGCTTTCTGCAGCAACAACCAGTCATATTTGCAGTATTGATATATTAAGTATAGGAACGGAGCAGATTAGTTTTCCGACCTTTTATAAAAAAAATCGGTCACATCATTTGCAGAACGCGCTCAAGTAGACGAAATTGTTCTGGTCTACTGTGAGATAGTGTAGTACGTTTTGGTTATTGATGGCAGCGTATTCGAAACTGCTTATCCCGATCACTTTAGTTAGTCGAGATTACTCGTGAATAACAAGACAAATAATCAAAAGCTTCTAATTTACCACGCGGTTCCAGATTCGAGTCCCCTAGTATTTTAACCCAACGGATTCGATAACAGAATTCGGCCTTGGCCATCGAAATTTTTATTTTAAACAATTTATTGTTTGAAGGCCGTTGATGTCTCTCGATTCACATGCGCGCCTTCATTGGACACGAAATGTACATATTGTAGGAACTGTTCCCTTATTTACGGACACTAGGTTGTCTTCTAGAAAAATCTATAGTGATTTGTTACCACCCACATAAATTGTTTGTTGACTGGCCTGGTTTGCGGATTATGACCCCAGCATTGACTGACGAGAATTTTGCCTTACGTTCGGTAACCCAAACTATCTGTCGATAGCCTTCGGCCGTACTGAATAGACGATTGAACACTTTATGAGTTTTATTGAAATTCCTACAATATACACAGAATACAATGCACACACAATTAGATCAAATCTTGTCTGACTAACAATAAAATATAGCAGAATATATAGGTTTCTATGGAGCAATTAGAATATAATCAATAAACAGATTTTTTCATTAACAATGGAATAATAATGCGTCACTCCGGTTTCTGGGTAACTTTCGGTTTTCTATAATCAAACATGATTAAAATTGTTTTTTAAAACTTACTACTAGCAATTAACTTGTTATTGTCAAATCATCGTGTTCCTGGTCACGTACTGACCCCAATTATGAGATTCAAAAAGTTGTTTTCAAGTGGATAATTAGTTTTTACCAGGATGTTTCAAGTTTACGTTATTAGAATTTTACCGGAAAGGAGATTTATTTTTACATGGGATGGCACCGGAAGGCTATTAAAATTTGAAATTGGATTCCGAGAAATTGCTATTGCGGGAATAAATAATTCTGTTTTTCATAAGTTTCAAAAAAATTGGGCCAATTTGGTGTAGTTTTGTAGTTACATAACAACTGATTGGCTGCAAAACGATGGGTATATATCCAGTGGTGGGATGCGGCTTTACGTAGTGAGATACATATGCATTCTCTGAAATGAAATTTCTGTTGTTTAGTCTATAGAAATAAGAACACGTTATTAGACTTTTGAATCCTACCACTTAATAAATCTCATGCTTAATAAACGAAATCAAAACAAAGCTTGTCCATGGCTCTGAGAAAGAACAGAGAAATTATACAGGTGTGACTCTCATGTCGATCTTTCCAACTTTTGAGTCTCTTGGAGCATTGGAACTCACTGGAAAAGATAAACATATGTCCCTTACTTGGCAGTACACTCATACCAGCTACTTAAAAATAGAACGACACGCATAGATTAGAGACAAAAACGGACAAACAAAGGGAAATGGTCAAAAATACGCTTGAAGATGTACGTAACTATATATAGGGAAAAACGAACCTGTCTTGCTTTGAAATGCTATGTTGTCCCTTCCGAGTGTTGGTGAGTTGCCGTTTTGTCCTGTTCGAGCTTGATCTAGCGCCGAAGTCAAAGTATTATGTAGTTTTACTACTATTTAACTTCCACTAATATTGTAATTAGCAAAAAAGTATTACAAAGTATTAACAAATTTCCACTATCGCAGAAGAAGAAGGGAGTTAGTCTCGCGTAACCGCAACTCATAATTATCTTAGTGTTACGTGAATTAGTTATTTTATTCACAATAATTTTAACTTAATAATAGCATTATGAACTATATATATAGATATGTATCTCACCCTCTTCCTTTAGTAAACCTCGATTCTTCAAGAATGGCATTTTATTCCGAATGGCTCCGACCCATTTCTCACGAACGTCTTTCCGTCTCACGCAAAAAAAAATAAATATAAAAAGACCCTGCGATTAAAATGAAATAATTTAAATCCCGATATAGCTGGGGTGCTAGTTATGGGCTTATATAATATGGTTCTAATATGATTGATTAGTAAGAGTTAATATCCTTCAACGTATACGTCTTGTCGTGGACGTATGTGTATATTGTAATGAAAATATGTGGCATCTCAGTGTACAGTTATTTTCTTACCTTTGAACTATAGCGAAAAGAGAGTGTATGGAAGCGAATGTTTGAATAAAAAAACAACGAGACAATGTTCAAATACATGAACAAGAATATCCGCATCGGTAGCGATATCGCCTTAGTTGAGCACGGGAATTAGACAAAGAGATCGCCGGGCAAGCAAGCAAAATAAAATGTACTCATACGTCCTAAAAAATGTTCCTATTAATTAAAATGAATCAACAAAATCATGTGTGAAATAATAGGCGCTACAGCACTCAGAGAAAAATCGAAAAAATATCAAAAGTAATGAATGGCCTTCTAGCTGCTTCATTCATCTTTTTAGCTGAAAATCTGTGATCGATCGGTACATTACTTGAGACTACAAGCCATATATTCACAACAACAATAATTTACAAAAACTGTATACTGCGTAAACCAAAGAATAAATATCAGTATATAGTTTATAAGCAAACCTGAAATGCATTGAATATTGAAAACAGCGATCCAAACACCAGATTCACAGTCTTATCATCCGTTATTGTTAATGGTATTGCGAAAGCCCATGTCACTCCGAGTAGAACCGTTACCATGGCAATGCTTAATATGTGGTCTTTCAGTTGTGTTTTTGTGACTTTTTGTCCAAGCTGAAAAAAGAGAAAAGTGGGAAATCACAACAGATGCATGCGTTAAAGCCAAATTGAATTTTGTATGATTTCGTCGAGAAATATTAATATTGAAAAATAACGTTATAAGTGGGTTGCTTATGTAAAAAAGCAGATTGAAAATCATGGCTATCACAGCTATTTCACATTATGGCATAGACTTTCATTTTGTAGGTAAAAGGGAGAAAATGCAACACATGGATGCTCTCAACCAGGTTATAAAAACAGTGCTATACTTACATCAGGTGGGGAACGAGTAATCACTCTCAAAACAGCAAAAAATCCAAACACATTGATACAGAAAATAATTCCAATTGGAAGTAGAAATCCAAAGTATAGTGAATACGAATGAAGCCAGCAGAGTCGATCGCTTACGTAATGTGAGACAGTGCATAGAGGATCTAAAAATATTCGAACATTTCATTGTGGAAAATAAGTGAATCTTATAGGACCAATTAATTCAATAGTATTACTAACTACAACCGAATCACTTGTATGTGAAAGATGAGATTAATATTGGGAGGTAATACTGATTATAAATTTATATTGTAGCTAATGATGTTGTAGCAAGATTGAAAACAACTATTTCGTTGATTGAAGAGTCCTTCCTACATACTAACACAAATGTAAAAGCGATTATGATGGGCTTATCGGACACGAAATGTATATATGAATCGTTTTGTTATTATGTTTTTACAAAAATGTCTGTGGGTTATATGGAATATGCTTCATTGTGTGTGATAATGTCATCAAAATTAAAAATTTTGCATTGTGTGGCGGTACCGCAATCTGGTGGCCAAGCGGAGTCGTAAAGATTGCAGTACCGGTAGCCTACTGTGACATATTGCATACCCGTACTACTTCGTTTTGGTCCTCGTGTCCAGTTATTTGAGTATCGCTCTCTTGTTTTCAATATGAAAAGTTTGCTTTGATTGCATGAGCACACGAGAGAACTCGAAAAGTGATTAGCATAGTAATTGTCATATAGTAACTATCATACCAGCTGTAGGTGCTCTGCTCCAATTAGTGTATTGTACGGAATCTCCAGTTGTATACGCAACAATAAGTGTGGCGCCGGTAATGAACAACGATATCGAATATACAAAAACCGAGCATTTCAAGAGATATTTACTTCCGATTTCGGTGAATACAACAATCAGTTTTCTAGAATTAAGCAATTAGAAATAGTTGTTCTACTATTTTTATGTGTTCTGTGATCATTGCTTAAACGTTGCTCGATAAATATAAATTGATCGCAGACATAATCGTTGGTAATCTGAACTTGAAATTTGGAACTGGTACCATGAATACTAAAAGAACCCATTTTAGGTTATCGAAATAAGTATTGTTACAAAGGAACAAAGCCCAGATCCTAGACTACCAAAACCTTTTGTACAATCAAACTCAAACAGAAGTTCAAGAGTTAACTAATTTATTTATTTCATAGAAATAAATTTGTAAGTGATTTTTGGGGGCCCAAATTTTACAATATATATACTTACCAAAAAAATATCAATTCATAACAATGTGTAAATTCTCACTTGTACATGGTGAAAAACTCGATTAACATCCATCCCCACGCGCTCAGGAATGAGAACTGGAGAATAAACCCAACAGCGTTGCATGCTGAATAAGCTCTGGGTCGTTCCACCCCAGCAAGAAATGTAATGTATCCAACAAGCAAACAGATACTTAGATGCATGTGAATTTGATTTATTCTGTTTGTCCGGAGAGATCTATTTAAATAAAAATTTGAATGTGTACAGAATTAGTCGGCGCATTGGTATTGTAGTTATATCGCTAGGCGGAGACTGGTATTTGCTTTCTATTTGTTGTTTATTTATCTTCAACTAGCTTTTCTTCCAAGCAAGACCATAACAAACATTCCAGACCTCATGGTTTACACACAGCATTGCAAAACGTCTGAAATTGCGCAAATGCGCTAACCAGATGAAAGCAGGTTCAGTGCATTTCTGCTGAGAAAAGAAGTTCTTTACACCCGTCATCAGACTATGACGCCTATTGTGTTGCTTTGTAGAACACAGAGTCTTCTAAGAGTTTTACAGACTTGGCGAGAACAGATATTCTTGAAAGGCACAGCTGCACTATGTTGACGTAACAGGTAGTAAAGTTCATGCTCAAGTAGCTGGGTAGGCAACCTAGAATCGAAACGTTTTCAGTCCTTACAAGGCAGCACATAGCTCAGTGAATATGATACTTGAATTAATCGAATAACCATCCACCATTCTAAGATGAAGGGTTATTCAATTAAGATACTTACTTGAATGAAAGATAAACAGTCATAAGAAACAGAAGTCCAAGTATTGAACAAATACATCCAATTTTCCCAACAACATCCAATACTAAATTCTCTTGCACGTACTGAGTTTGCTATAAAAAGACAATGATTTATTAATTCTATTCAAAAGACAATTTTTTGGCTTGATAATTCTATATAGCTTAACAATTCACACGGACCATGCGTGGCAGATATTCCCAATAGATTGCTTCCCTTTTAAAGAGGCTTGAAAAATTTCATCATCTGTTTGAGTGTGGATTTCATATATATATATATTTTTATTGTAAGCAGATTTAACCGTTTACATGTGAGTGCAAGCTTAGAGAACCAATTTGTGCAGTAGTACTTGAATCTAGTTTAGATACTCACAGTCAAAACAGCAAAGTTAGTTGTGTGATTGCAATAACATGTCGTCGAAGTATTTGATTGATCAACATTAGTTACACAGCCGTCAAATTTCCAAGTTGAATCTGGGATACTGAAATATCCACATCTTTCCAGATGAATCGTACATCCGCTAACCTATACAGGGAAACCAATAGTTTAAATTAAAAGAAAGTGTTTTAAAGCAAAATGCTCAATATTTATGTTACTCTTTCACCATCTACTGGCGCAAGGTCTTGCATGCCCGATTGAGATAATTCCCCGTGTCGCACATATGCCTTCGGGAAGGAACCATGAATCATGAAAGTTTGTTGACAATTACTGCTCTAGGTTATCGCGACTTCGTTATTGACAACGATATTTCATGATACCTATGTATCTATTGTTTAAACGTACCTTCTCGGTTTGTACGCTCACAACTGCCCGAGTGAAAGAATATTGAATCGGATCTTTCAAATTTTGCAGTGTCATGTTTGATATCTGAACACTTACCACCTGAAACGATGAATTTGAACAAATTTACTTACCTCATCAAATTATCTATAATGTGAACTAAAAACAAACAAAACTAATATCTTTAATCATCATATTGAAACACCACGATGAATGATATGCTTTCTAACTCTTTATATAAAGCTCCACGTATTATTGTTATGTATTTTTTAAACGTTGATGCTTTTTGTGTTCAATGACTTCATAATTATTCAAGCGAATACGAGTGTATGATGGGTGCTTCTTGGTTTATTGTTTTCAAATAACTTTACCTGAATGAAACGAGCTGGGTTTATGAGATACCGAGTCGAACACAGCGTCGCCAGACACCTGAGCAAATCCATTACGATAGACTCAATCAGGCGAAATATTATGAGATAGGGTAACCGTACATTTGAAACCACGTACATTTGAACCCATGCGTATATCCGCGGGTTCGATCTATATCCGGATGATAAAACCCATGGGTTAGGGTTAGTTCGGGCTCAAATATCCGTAAAACAAAAAAAAAATTCCATAGGTGCAATAATATGCAGGTGCAATTGCCATGGGTTCAAATGTACGGGAACCTGAAATACGACTGTGACGCATCGCGATATGGGATAGGAACGCGTTTGCTATTTCACCATTGATTGGCGTGCGCGGTTCCGCAGGTTCGAAATTCATGAATCTGAAACAAATAACTAGATAACCATTCCTAGCTAGCCTCTCTCCGGGCTAAACTTAATAAATAAATACGGCGCTACTTTGAAATTAGATCTCAGCGGGTGGGTGATCTCAGTGATTTTAGTTAGAGTTAGGAACTGAATTTTATCTGATCATGTAAGCTAGAGAGATCGCATACCAAAGTGACAGGACGTTGTATCCCACTCACCTGACCAATTTGCACGGCAGAATCGTTTGGTCTGGGAAACAAAACTCCTGTTTTGTGCAGGTAAAACAAAGCGTTTGTCATATTTGAGATTGTTGAAGCCGGGATTGCTGATGCAGGAATCGTTGATTGGACAGAGGGTGGCGTGGGTGGTCCAGATCGTGGCATAACGTCGGTAATTGATCCGGAAAATTCAATAGCTCCCGGTGATACCCCTGGCATATGCGGTATCTTTTGTGCCTGTAAAAATTTCTTTTCATTTAGTTTCTGTACTATAATTCTATAAAACGCACTTATTTAGCTAAGATGTCTCTCCAGATTTTTGAATGAAAGGAAAGGAAAAAACATATATATATATATATAAATTGATAGTATATTCCGCTATTAGTTGGACGATGTGAAAGAGCTAATTTTAGTCATAATTTACCTACCTCAAACACGGACGACGGGCTCATCATTGTCAACTTATCCTGCGTTAAAATCATATTTGATGAAAATACTTCCAACGCTTCAATATACTGAAGTTTTTCTTGCTCTGTGAGAACTGTGTCGTTACTACTTTGTAAGGCCGTATTTAAGTTGTCTGTCGTCCATACGAGATAGTTCATGGTTCTTTCCGTTATCTAAAAGTAATCAAACAATATTAATTGAAACAACATATTTTATGTCCCAGATAGCAAAATTTATTTGCGATTCTCATTTCTCACAATCATAATCGGGACACAATATTGTCCACCGACTAGAAAATTGTTTATTAATTCTTATGGAGATTCCAAAGTCTATACCTATGAAAGTGGAAGACACAATCTTGACTAGCACTGAAATAGGATCCTAGTAATTATTATATGAAACAGTACACGATCCGAATATATAGCATCACGTTGCGCTTACACACCATTATGCAAATCACGTTTTCACATAAAACACCAACTCGTCATATTGAAAGCATGTCATTGAAACTTAACAATGGTTTTATAAAACGTGCAATACATTTATTATTTCCTGTTCAGTCATATACCGCAAAATTCAGACTTTCGAAAATTTCCGTTGCAAATAAATCCTTTCTGAGCTTGTCGAAGTATGCGTTACAAAAAGCAATTGCAGCTCTCATGTCTTGTGGCGGTTCCGCGTTTGTTACATTCTGGTAGTCTGGCGAAGCCGTGATCGCGGTACCGTTAGTCTACTTACTACTTCATTTCGACTTTCCTGTCCATATATTTGAGCATTTCTTCTTTGATATTATATTTATAATTTAGCCAGCAGCTCTTGAATTGGATTTAATATTCGGATATATGTTTCATAGTTGATCACCTGTATGTTATTCTCTTTTATTTGGTTTTTCATCTCGTGGATTGCTTGAACATCATCTTTCACGTACTTTGTAGTTTTCGACGAAAAATCAGTTGAAAGAACACTCACCACCGCCATGTTGGATTCAACATTTTCTGTTGTTGCAGTTTGGTTTTTAATCTGCAATCATTAAACACAAATTTACCTCATCTGTTATAATTATTTTGCAATATTCAACTATTTTAAAGCATGTTTTATGTGGTTGGGTCGGATAATTTTGAGATTCGCAATGTATCAGTAAAAGTTGGTCTCACTTCACACTTTAATGCCAAAGTTATAAATATATATATTTCTTCATATAACACATAGTAATTGAAAAGTTGTTAACTCTTTGAACTCTGACGGCTCTGAGCGAAGATACTCGCTCACCCTGAAGATTCGCGGCGCCGTATTTGTAGAACAATAAAATAGGTCTAAATACTGGCTATTTGGCACGCTTATAACTTTTTACCAATTATAGGTAGCACGTTGTGTGACATTTCAATCGAAAGGAAATTTTATCGTGCATTCAGAATGTATTCTCCATTTCGAAATATATTTTGTCAAAATTAATAAAATTGACTCTAATCTAACAGTGATTTTTTTGCATGTAAGTGAGTTATGGCTCCAAATTTTGTTATTTTGGTACAAAATATACTGCCAATATTTGAGGTTCATGAAGAGTTCTTTATAAGCTTTTTGTTGATATTGGAATTATTATTGTGGCTGCCGTATAACCAATTTTATATTTAAATATCCAATTGTGTCGGACAACTTCGATAAGCGGCCATGACGCACTGATTACGCAGCTACGCAAAAGCCGATCACGTGACTAAGGTCATGAAGATGTTGATACGTACGTTCGAAACGTATTGCGTGGCAAAATGCGCAAGATAACTTTCACGACGACGTTCTCAGCGGGACATCGGTCGCCGAGTTTCGATATGATATTAACCCCGTATGGATTGAAGCACCGACGAAACACACGAAATAACATGCCCAGCAGCAGTGAAAGCTTATTATAATTCATTCGTGGGAGGTACTGATAAAAACGACCAGTTGACTTACAAAAGTGCAGGAGGCATTATAAATGGCCAAGACGTTTAGTCATGAAGTTTTTCATGTGGACGACGTACAATTCCTACGTCCTAATGAATTTTGTCAAACCTCACAATATGAGAGCAAAAAGGGTATTCAGTATTCACAATCCCCAATTTTCTAGAACAACTATTTGAAGATCCCGCTGGAAAAGGCAAGATGTTGATGAAAAAATATAATAAAAGATAATAAAAAACTGCAACTAAACGTACGGCACGACATATATAAACCGCGAAAC